TATGAGTCAATGGACTCCATATCATAAATTTGTTTCCAGCTAACTCCGTAATCTTCTACAGTACCCGGAAAGGATGCCAGAACAGATTTTCTCCGAGCTTTTATGGAATCGGACATCTCAACGGAGACCGTCAGCAAAGTTGGCTCGCCCACTACTCCTTTCAGTGTTTTGATTCATAAACTCCATGACCTGCTGAGCCGAACGGAACATTACGAAGTAATCACTGTTAATCACAGCTCTCTGGATAACAGGAACGCCACATCCATGCTCTCAAAGCAACTGCGACTCCGCCTAATTGCTGACGAGGAATCCGATATCCCCAAACCGTACAAAAATATGATGGTATCGATCCACGCAATCGCCAACTTTAAGGCTCTTGATGACTATCTTCGTCCTCGAATCAGCTTATCCGAACGTCCCAGAGGCTCGCGGAATCGTGATACTATATTTTCCCAGTTGTCTGGCTCCTCTAGATCTCGAGATGCTGCAGGAAGTGGAACTGAGACAGCGCTCTCTGGAGGGCTTGAGCAGCCTAACTTACCTCCCCCTCCTCCACAGCAGGCCACTTCGTCCCGAAGTACACGAGTTCCAGAGAGATCTAAACCTCAACGTTCGTCATCCACGCGGACGCCAACATCTGGAGGTTCTGATGAGCGTTCTCTCCGAACGAGATACCCGAATCGACATCAACCACCACCTCCCGATGACGAAACAGATGGTACTGATGAGCCTCTAGAATGCGCTGATGAGAGGCAGCTGACCGATGACGAGGAAGGGGAAGAAGAGGATGATGCGTTGGATGCCATTGTTGATGACCTTGAAGACGATCTCTCTGATGAGGAAGTTGCAGATCCGACGGCAGTTAACTTGGAAGTTGCTGCAACAGGGAAAGTAACTGCTCGTAAAGAAGACGGAACGAGAGTTTCAACACCTCAGCAGTCAAACCAAACAGGAAGACCGTCATCATCTGCTCCAACTTCTGGCCAATCTCTAGGCGGATCTTTGGCCTTTGCTGGTCGACCATTCTCATACGCCGCGGCAATTGCCTCCATTCCACAGGACTGGCATATCGAGTTCCGTGTCGATGACAAACCAATCTCCCATGAGACAACGGTGTATCGCGCAATCCACCATAATAGAGAACATCTGAGTGATTGCCATGCGCGTAATGTGTGGTCCATGGTTCACACAATCAAGTACAAACGCGTCCAGGGGCCACCGCCACCGGAACCATCCACACTGACCCCGAACTCTAGCAATTTGTCGTTGGAGACGGATTCCAGTGGTATGCCAGAGTCCCTGAGTAAGAATCCGACAACGGCATCTATCCTCAAGCTACTCGGACTTCTGCATGGAATGAACGCCCAGCTCGATGACATCCTGGCAGAGAGCAACCATCAGATTAGAGTTGTCAAAGAACCTCTGGCACAATTCCTTAATACAAAGCTAACCGCCAAGCTCAACCGACAACTCGAAGAACCATTGATTGTGGCTAGCAGCTGCCTCCCAAGCTGGAGCGAGGATCTTGCGCGCCATTTCCCATTCCTCTTCCCCTTCGAAACTCGACACCTCTTCCTACAATCGACGTCCTTCGGCTATGCGCGGTCTATGATGCGATGGCAAGGGTCGCAGTCTGATGAAAACCGACGAGATCAGAGACGTGATGATCGCCCGTACGCGGGACGTCTACAGCGGCAGAAAGTGCGCATCTCGCGGTCTCGCATCTTAGATTCTGCCATGAAGGTCATGGAGTTGTACGGTTCGTCGCCCAGCGTTCTTGAAGTTGAATACTTTGAGGAAGTCGGTACAGGTCTTGGTCCGACGTTGGAGTTCTACTCAACCGTTTCAAAAGAATTTTCCAAGAAGAAGCTCAAGCTATGGCGAGAACATGATTCGAACGACAAGAACGATTATGTCTTCCACAAACTGGGTCTGTTCCCTGCTCCCATGAGTCGTGAACAGGCTTCGTCGGAAGCGGGCAAGAAGCAGCTTCAATACTTCAAGGGCCTTGGCAAATTCGTCGCTCGATCTATGTTGGACTCAAGAATTATCGATATCGCCTTCAACCCCATCTTTTTCCGCATTGGTGGTGCCACCTCATCAACAGTGACTCCGACTATCGCAACCGTCAAGGCTGTGGATCCCGAACTTGCCAATTCCCTGACTCTCGTGAAACGGTTCGTGACCGCACAGGCCAGCATAAATGCCGATGATTCTCTCAGCGCCGAAGAAAAAGCCCGCGCGCTGGATGAGCTTACCGTCGATGGTGTCCGGGTCGAGGATCTGGGCTTAGACTTCACGTTGCCGGGACACCCTTCGATTCAGATGATTCCGCATGGCTCTTCCATTGCTGTGACGATGGATAATGTTGGGTCCTATGTCAGCAAAGTCATCGATATGACTCTGGGTAGTGGCGTGCAGGCGCAGCTCGATGCGTTCCGTGCTGGGTTCTCACAAGTGTTCCCGTATTCTTCACTGCAGTCGTTTACGCCTGATGAGCTTGTGATGTTATTCGGGCAGGTTGAGGAGGATTGGTCGATTGAGAGTATGTTGATTGTATCCCTTTTTAATTGGGTTTATACAATTTGGCGTTGGGATTACTAACTTCTCTGTTTTTGCAGCATTGATGGACTCGATGAAAGCGGACCACGGCTTTAACATGGACAGCAAAAGCGTGCGCAATTTGCTACAGGTTATGAGCGAATTTACCAAACAAGAGCGTCGCGACTTTTTGCAGTTCGTAACCGGCAGCCCCAAGCTTCCCATTGGAGGTAAGTCAAACACAAAAACCATCCCCTCTCCCCCCTTCCATCCGCCCCTGTCTATTTGCGTTAAAAGTCACGAATTTCCATATCCTAACTATCAACTCCGCAGGCTTCAAAAGTCTTACTCCAATGTTCACCGTCGTCTGCCGCCCCAGCGACCCTCCGTATCTACCGGACGACTATCTCCCCAGCGTAATGACATGCGTCAACTACCTCAAGTTACCCGATTATACCAACATCGATATCCTCCGTGAACGGCTCAATGTTGCCATGCATGAGGGACAGGGGGCGTTCCATCTGTCTTAGTTTTCGATTTCGTTCGCGGGTAGTTTTTCCTTTTTAAATCTTGCATTTCTATTTCCTGTGTTTGTGTTGTGTTGGCAGTGTTTGTCCTGACTCTCTGTATCCTCCGTATGCCCGGCCCCTTGGGAGTTCCAAAACATTTTGCTTTTGTCTGCCCATGTTTTCGTTCCGCTGCACCCTTCCCTGTTATCATTTTGTTTCATCTTTACTTTTTTCCATCTTTCTATGTATTTCCCTCGGCCAAATTCAATATCTCACCATCCAAAATCCTTTCTTTGACTAACGGAAGCTTCATGCATTCTCATGTAATCTTGCTTTTCTATTTATTTTTTGTTCCTCCTTTACTCATGATTCATTCCACCCAAATACCTGCATGCATGACTCTATTTAAAATCTTGAAAGGCTGGTTCGATATTCCATTTCCCCCGATGTTCATTTCTTTTCGATTTGTCTGCCTTTTCTTTCCATGGTACATTTTCACATTTTGTTCTCTCTGTTTTCTCCTTTCTTTTTTAAAAAAGCGAAGATCATTAGTTTTAAATTTCGGGAGGCGGAGGTGAGGAGCGTGATGGGAGCGGCGCTGGGTGTGTTCGAGGTGGTGGATGTCAATACGAGACTGGATCCCAGCCTGCCCTATGGATGTGCAGCACCATACTGCAGCGGAGGGATGAAAATGAAAGTGTCATGGCAATATGGCGATGGAATTAATTATGACTTCGAAGAACATGGCTTGCATGAGCGAGAAACTATGGGCAACGGATTTTGCTCGAGATTTATTTTCTAGTTTCTTTTCTTCTCCTTTTCTCTGCTAAACATGGGCCGCTCAGGTCAGGCCAGACATATCGGCGTTATATGGGGTTTGATTTTGTTTTTACTTGACTCGCCTCTTCCTTTTTCCAATACTATTTATTCCATTTCCTCTTGTGCTCCTTTCTCCTTTCATCCGTTTAGTATTTACTGTGGCAGGTGGTAACTTATGTTTATGTAGGAAACCGGAGGAAAAAATATGCCCCTTATTACATTACTTTTCTGTTTTTGCCTTTATTCTCCCCACTAAACCCAATCAGCCACAACCTCTCTTCCAAGTTGAACTACAATACATCCATTAGCAAGATCCTCCGTAAATATTTCTCTCGTTCTTATCGTTCCCATTCCCATTCCTCCCTCTGACCGTTTGCCCCTTTTCCAATCACGTGAGAAAACTCTTTCTTGGCGCTTAACTATCCCTTAAGCACCTAAGGAAGGCGGTGGCGCGCGGCAAAAAGACCCAACTTCCCTTGCTCAGCCCTAAGTGTATATATACACGCAAACCTTCTCCAGCCTCCACACGCCGCTTGCAACCTGTTAATAATCAGGTGGGATGGGGATTTGCGATTTCTATAGACTCCAGCTACTTCTCTGATTTGAATACGATATAAGGACGAGGGGTCGGTCGGTGAGAAGAATAAGCTAGCCCGGAGGCCTTGTCGCATCCCCGCCTGTGTGACGGAGTGGAGATGCGGAGTTAACAGACCTATATTATATTTATATATATAATCCCAGCTCAATTGGCAGAGGGACCAACCCGACGATTTACCAGGCAGTCTGAGTGCTTGTTGCGTGGCGCACATCTTTCTGTGCAATTCACGCTCTCAGGAGCGAAGAAGCTACTACGTCTTATCGGCGGTAAACAACGCAATTAACTACCCAACCCAATACCGAAGCCCCTTTTCAATGCGCGGGCCTCCTACGCACTTCTATCATTGTATCTATTATAGAGCTTGACCTACAACCCTCTTTTTTTTCTCGCAACACCACCGTCTTTCCCAGCGTGGCATTACTGGTATTGCGCGCAGGGAACAAACATTACACACAGGGACGATTTATCTACAAATCTAAAAGAAGACCTAATCACACCACGCGCACCCGCAAAACCCTCAGAAGAGCAGAACGATGGACGAATTTGCCCAAACGCGTGGCGTCGACGACCTCTTCGACGACGAAATCATCCCCCTTCCCCCTCAAGAGGTCGTGATCGAATACCCCCCAGAACCTGTACCGGAACCCGCAGCACACGAACCTACCCTTCAACGACCGACTTCGTCCGGCCCACGACCACCCTCGCAACCACGTGCATCCCATTCACCGGGAAAACAACAGCAACAACAGCAACAGCAACAACAACAAGAACAATCGAGCCACGAGTCGCCGGCCCCGCCTGAAGCGCAGCATAATACTGGTGCCGCCGGGTATAGGGATGGAAATCATAACAGAGGTCGTGGGAACGGGCGCGGATATAGTGGGGAGAGGGGGAGAGGACGAGGCAGAGGAGGAGGAGGAGCTAATGGTGGTGGGCGTGGTGGGCGTGGTGGGAGGCGGGTGAGGTCCCAAGGTGTGGAGGCGAGCCGTGATGCGCCGACTCCTCCACCCGCGGCGGGTGGTGCAGAGGGGGAGGAACAGGTGGGGGATGCTAAAGAGGGGGGAGGGGATGTGGATGGGAAAGAAAGGGAGGAAATTCGGGATGGGGAGAATGGTGGGGATGAGAAAACCAAAGAACAGAGCACGCCCGCGCGGGCGCCTTCACCTGCGCCTAGGACCTTTGCGGTTAAGGGAGATAGAAGTGGAACGGGTGGCGTGAAGAAGGTAAGAATGTACCTCTTGAATTTCGCCGATGTTCAAATATACATGATACTAACTACAACTGTTTTGCCTTCCCGCAGCCCAAACTCACCGAAGATGAACTCACGGAACGCATGAAAGCCGCCAAACTCAAAGCAGCAGAACGGGCGGCCGCCCACGCTCGTGCTGAAGCCGACGAAGCCTCGTTCCTCGAACGAGAACGCATCGCCGCCGAAAAGCGCCGTGAAGAAATGCAGAACCGCCGCGTGATGAACGGCGAGCGGGAGAGGAATCGGCAACGAAAGCTTGACGCCCAGACCAGGCGCGAGTGGGATATTGAGAAGTCTGCGGAGGCATTCGCGCCGACGGCCGGGAGGGGTCGGGGCGGGGCTGCAAGTTCTTATCGACGCGGTGCGCATGGTGGCGTGTTGTATGATGGGGCCACCACTGCTGGTGCGGGGGATGGTATGCGTGGTCAAACGGAAGAACCGTTCACGGATCCTGACGACGATGGATATTTCCGCGGGAGGGGAAGCGGGCGCGGAAACCCGCGTCGCGGCCGGGGCGGCAGGGGTCGTGGTCGTGGGGATTATGCTGGCAGACAGATGTATGGGGGCTCATCTGGGCCTGATGTCAGGAAGTGGGTGGAAGGCGTGTCGCCTCATCATCCCCCGCCTGAGCCTCCACGTGTCAGCGCGGAAGAGGATTTCCCCGCGCTACCAAGTGTGTCTGGAGGAGGTGGAAATGGGAATAGAAATGGGAACGGTAAGGATGATGTTACTACACCACTGTCGCCGCAGGGGACGTGGGCGGAGCAGGTGGAGATGACTCAGGAAGAGCGGAAGACGCAACAACAGTCTTTACATGGGGCACTGTCATCGATGAGCTTAAAGGAAAAAGAGAAGGTTGGTTCGTGAGGTGTGGAACTCGGGGTTCCTTATGGGCTTTTTCATTTTGTAGACTTTCTTGCAATTTGGCACGTATGTGGCTTTTCCCCCCTATACTGAAAATTAGACTCTACCCGCTGGTTGCTTGGAACAGACCAGACCACGCCAATGACCTATTTGTCCCCTTTATTTTTACCACTTTTGGAGTATTTTTATTCCATCATTAAAAACTCCCCGCCTTTTCCTGGTTTTTATAATTTGCCTTTTATCATTCCTTATTTTTGGTTGTGCTCCAAAACATCGTCCATCTATTATTCCACACTTCAGGAATTATTTACTATACCCACATAAGCTGTTTTAACATCGAGTGGACAGTCGATTGCTCATTTCGTTGCCAGTGTACGAACCGCTACAGGCATTGTTAGATCGATGGTATTCAGAGTGGAAGGATGAGAAGACTAATTACAATGACGCGTCCGCCTGGTGTTGTGATACTACACCGGTTTCCCCAAGGACCGGAGGGAACGCTTATACCACATCCGGTAGCATTTGAGTTTGCAAAATGCAGTGGTTATTTATTGTTCACAAAGGTTTGATATCAAGAATCGGAATACACGCGATAAATGCCGAAATAAAATAAAAATAAACATGTAATAATATAAACGGTGCCTACAAAACATGCAAGAAAGATACACTATTATTCTACTTTAACCACCTTCCCTCTAAATCTATCCTTCACCGCAACAATAAAGCCCGAAATCTTCACCTTGATCCCGGACTCCGGTGCCTCCTCGACAGCAACAAGACGGCGAACAAGAATATTAAATATACTCCCGAACGCCAACGCTATAACCGTACTAGTTAATATAATCACGTTGTATGGCATGCTGAAATCGGGTGTGGGGAGTGGTAAGAGTAGGCTTGTCGTGCGCAGGTAGATTGGGGGTTGCAACTGCGAATTGCCGGATTTTACTTCTACCTCCGAGGCGTTCCGGCCACTGAGTAATCTGATAACTGCGGGGGCGACGTTGAATCCTCGATTGGCATCGGGTGGGTACTCGGTGTAGCGGAGGATGGTCTTTTCGAAGTCGTAAATCAGTGTTACTGTTGATGCGGCAGGGACCGAAAGTATCAGTTCAAGTTGCGTGCCCCTTTTTCTGTCGAGGGCGGGGCGGTAGAACACCTCCTTGATGATCTCCGAGGCCGCAATGGAAACGTCTGTGCCGTTTTGGTTCGTGACTTTTGCGCTAAGAGTGTGCACATAAGGCCTCATGAACCAGGGGAGGGTCTCGAAGTAGATGAATTCAACTGGGTTGGTTTGGGACGGGTTTGTCAAGATTGACCGCATGCCACCTCTTTCTTGGCCGTGGCCGGTTATCGTCCGCTCTGCGTGAAGGTTAGGCTGCTCCAAGGGTACTTCGGAAGGCTGTTTTTGAGCTGGTAGAACTAGGTCGAAAGGGAAATCGTCGAGGAGTGAGTAGCAACGGGAAAGCCCGTCAGGAGACTTTCTCTCGATCGCGCCAGCTGTGACTAGTACGTCCCAGTCGTTGGGAACTTTGATACACACATGTCGTCTTTGATTTTCTTCTTCCTCCGTTAAAGGGCATCCACCTGGAATTTTACGGCCAAACACTTCTGATAAACGCCACCCCTGTTCTGCACTTTTGCCGACTGGGTAGCAGGTATCATGGGAGTTGTAAGGCTTGGATTGATCGCAGACTAGCTGTTCCGCGGGAACAGGGCGCGGAATGGGATTATCTATAATATTCTTAGTTTAAAGGAAAATAGGGAAGAAGCAGAGGTGAGGATAATCACCAGAACTCACCTCTTGGCCTCTTCGATCTCTCTACATCTAAAACCATATCTATTGTTTGTTCAATTTCAACCTGGCATGCTTCTGCATCCTCAGGACAGGTGGGGCGAACATCAATAGACATGCTCTGCCAGGAGGCATCAAATAGTCTATGGCCATCAAACAAACTTGAAATTCCAGCTTTTCCTTTGCAGGGAAGCAATTTCAGGAACGGCGTCAAATTCTCCGTACATACGACCTCACCAGGAAGCGTCCCATGCAGCAGATGCAGCGGTCTGGACGAATGGTTTCCCACAGGCTCAAACGTCACTACCGGTCGAGTTGTTCGAGTAGAATCAATAAAATTTAACGACGCGCAGAAGAGGCCGGACAGGGACTGTGTTAGAGTGATCCATTTGGAATAGGCGCTGTGAAGAGCGAGAATTGTTAGTTGCTATTTCCAGATTGCTTTGAGGGAAATTGCCCGAAATCTCACGCTTCATCCGTATCTGCATCTATCCATGCCCACAATTCAACCCCTGTACCGCCCTCCTTAAAGCCATGCCACGGTCTCTCGCCCCAGCTCTCCGCATCCCACCGACCGGTGGTGAATCTCAAATGCAACTCCTTAGTGCTGGCATGCTGGAGGATTTGGCCTAAAGATCGTGGGAAATATCGGAAATTCTGGTGCTCAAAAGCTTCAAGTGACGAATTGCTGCGAAAATTAAACGATCCTAAGAGGGAGGAAGGGGGTAGAGGGCGGAGGACTAGCTGTTCATGGTACTCTGCTGCATCGGAGAGAGCTGGCGACAGCGATGCAAGGAAGATGCAAAGGAAAAAGAGAGGATTGAAAATCATGCCGTCATGTTGCAGGAGACCAACAATGCAGTTTGCAATTGTAATGTCTCTCAATGAAGACAGCAAAGTGTTGATAGCTGTATACAAAATTTCTCTCTCCGTATCTTGAGAGTTGGGCGTCATCTTGCTCCGTGGCCTAGAGATGCGGAAGTTTCACGTGACTTCCATCAACCTTGAGAGCGCGCTAGTTATTCTCTGTGTTAGCGCGATAGGCGACAGAACAGGAAGCAGATGTTATCCTCATGCTATCAGAATCTGTGAACGTAGTGGTGAAACTCGAAAAGGACCTTATCCTGGGCACTCTCACAGACAACCTTATAAAGCAATTTTGTGCCCAATACAGGATCGCTTCCGGAGTGCATAAACTCTTCTCCAACCCGTTGAGGCAGAGATACCAATCCTCCTTTGAGCATGGCGGCAGAGCAGAGGAAGCTGCTCGAGCAGCTTATGGGCGGTACGTTCTGCCTAGCATACATCGTTTTTCTATCGTAACTTTTTATAATCCAAATGGCAAGCTAACTTATATAGCGGAGCAAATGATGGGCTTCGGTGGCTCGCGCAATTCCCAACTCGTAATAACCGACCCTAAAGTTTGCCGCTCCTATCTTGTCGGCACATGTCCTCACGATCTCTTCACCAATACCAAACAGGACCTAGGCCCGTGCCCAAAGGTTCACAGCGAAGGGCTAAAAGCGGAGTATGAGGCTGCGTCGGCGCATGAGAAGTCGAAATGGGGCTTCGAATACGATTACCTACGCGATATGCAGAAATACATCGATGATTGTAATCGTAGGATTGATTCAGCGCAGCGACGATTAGAGAAGACACCGGATGAAATTCGTCAGACAAATAACCTTGTATGTTATTTCTACGTTATTTGTACCTTTGTCATCATTTGTCGTTTTTCCCTATAATCTTTTCTCTCATGACCCCATAACCACTCCCCGCAAACTGAATCCTATTTGCTAACTAATTTACCCCCGTCTCTCACTCAGCTAAAACAAATATCCGATCTCTCAAAGACCATAAGCAACGGCCTCCTAGAAGTCTCCGTCCTCAGCGAAATGGGTTCTGTCTCCACGGCTTACAACGAGTTCCACAAAGTCCGCACCGCAAAACACCAAAAGGAGGCCTGCGAACGCGAACTCAAAGCGCTCGCCGACACATCCGGACCCTCAGGTCACCAGAAATTACAAGTCTGCGATGTATGCGGGGCATATCTTAGTCGTCTAGATAACGATCGTCGCTTGGCGGATCACTTCTTTGGCAAAATGCACCTGGGATACGCGAAGATGCGCGAGACTTTTAGTGTCTTGCAGAAGGAGTTGAAGGGACCACCACCCTCTAGGCATGACGATGGTCCCTCCGGCCGTGGCGATTATGATAGTGAGGGCGGTTGGGGTTCTAGAGCTGGTGGGGGTCGAGGACCGTATCGGACTGGTGGTGGCGGAGGTGGTTATAGAGGGTACAAGGGTAGAGGAGGAGGGGGAGGTTATGGGGGACGGTGGTAAAGAATACCCACTATTGTATGTGTATGCCTTTTATTTCGCGCGCGGGAGAATTGCATAGCGGTGGCGTTCGGGGAGTTTTACTCTTGGAATTAGGCAAAGGGTTTATTATGTTTTTGTATGTTGTGGCCCTGAGGGAGAGCAACTATGATAGCCTAAAATATAATGAACGGGGAAATTTTACTCGGATCTAACTCGGACCTACATGTATGTCATAGTTTATTTTGTGTTTCCTAATGGTGTGACCATGTCAAGAAGGTATATATATATAGTTGATCACAAACTTTAGTTGAGGCGCAGTATTAACAAAACCACACCGACCACTAGCCAAATCATTCTCAAAGATGCGTGACCTTTTTAGTTTCTTGAGAAACTTATGTCACAACGTAGTTTATGGAGTAAGGAACTAGAGAGTTTGTGCCATTGAAATGAGCAGAACGGAGGCACCCATAGAAAAAACGGTTGAATATGGCTTTTAATGTACAGTATGCGCCAGCAGGGAAGCGGCGAAAACGCAGGACAGTTTTAACTATTTACATACAGAAAAACATGAACATGAAATTCACCGGTGAGATGAGCTTGGGGAAACAGGGTTGGTAACACATGGGGAGGGGGGGGCTATGGGGAGAACATATCTGGGGGAAAAGAAATAGCAACCGGTAAAAACACTAGCCTAGCACCGTACATTTTGACTCCTATGTACCAGGAAAGAAAGAAGCTGAAGGTAGTAGAAAATGGCGGCTAGAAAATCAGAAAATTAGTAAGAAATCAGTGGCAATAATAGCAATTGACAATGATTCACGTGAAAAACCTAAGCATGAAAAAATTCAAGGGGAAGAGAACTAGAATTGAAATATATAAAAACAAGCCGC